AAATATGTGATACTGTTGTCAGATTCCCAAAACAACTTGACCATTTACTTAATTTTGAAAAAAAATTGGAATAATAAAAAATTCAACACCCCCACTTTTTTTTTTAAAGATAATGAAGACTGCTCTGAAGAATATTAAAAGTTTAATGAAAAATATTAAAAAATTGTGAAACTCTTTAAGATATCAAACTTTTGGCTAGACCGGCCAGCAAGAAACGTGTTGAACCCTGATCCAGATTCATCATGCCTTTAGTTCGGGTAAAAGAACACTAAAATAAAAGCAGAAAAATGCTGAAATGACTAACATACAGTATTTACTAACATACAGACAAGCAACAAAATATATAAAATACAAAAACAAAGCAAAGAAGCCAACAGCAATATACTGAAAACTCATTACATACTAAAGCTCAGAGTGGATTACACGAAGCTTTCCGTAGAAAACAGTAACACGCATGATTTTTTTGTCGTTTAAATTCAAATTCAAATTTTTATTCAGGTAAGAGTACATACATAGATGAAGAGTTACAAACATAATATTGAAATTATAGATAGAGCTAGTACATACAATACCTAAAGCCACTAATACGCAAAGTTTTTCGGGCAACTGAAGCCACTAATTCGCATAGCGTTTCGGGCAATGTAAATAATTACCTGCCACATACATTCATTATACTGCACAATAAAACTTTAATTTAGTGTTGATACAAAAGTAAAGTTTAAAACATGTACTGTATCTGGGATGCAATAGCTAGCTAATTATGCTAAGCGTCAACTAGAGTACCAGTATACATATATATCGTATAATGGACACTTGACAACAAACACAGGAACATAAATGCAGCAAATATCAACATTTGAAAATAAGTCAAAGAGATGAAACTATGCAGAGCGTCACAAAGCAAAAGCTACATTACATATCCATTGTACAATATAGAAAAATTTGTTCAAAATTTATGGTTCAATCCAATTAGTCACAAAATCTATGCTAATAAATGCTAGCAAATATAGCTCATCTCCCTTTTAATAAATTAAAATAATAATGCTTTAAATATTGGATAATCGTGGTAAAAGGGCTTTTAATGTCTAGGATTCAGTTACCCAGTTAAGGAGTTAGCCGAAGCCTTATAACTAAACGAATATCTTTCAACCTTAACACATTATTTAAAAATTAAAGACCTCAGCATATGGAATAATTGCTCATTTGTATTTGGGAGCAAATACATATTTGGCTAGCATTAGTTGTATTAATATAGAGTTTGTGACATATTATATGCTAAGGCAGAAAATTATACTGCTAGGAATCTATCATCGTCTCTCAGTAGAAAATTATGTAAAATCACGTATGAACAATACAGTCCTTTAGCTCATAAAGTTTAGTACTTCACGGTCTCTTTTGGATTCCAAAGGTTAACTATAATTATTTATGCTTGATTCTTCCCAGCTGGTGAGCATAGCAGGCTGACCTCAGGGACTACAGGTCATAAACTAGAGGGATGGAGCTACTACTAGCAAGGCATCAAGGTGAAACATAGGGTGATACCAGGGGACTATTAAGCTGCCGGTCAGCCATCTGGAAAGTTGATAACTAGCAGCCTTTCAAGTTTTATTCACAGACGCTGAGACGAACATAACATATTCATGGTTATTTCAGACTAGGACATGCAAACATAGTACAAAAAAATAATTATGTATTTGTTGTCTTAGCAAGGAAGAGTGCAGAGCAAATAAGTGCCATCATGTGAAGACAAATGTTGCTATAAATCTGAAATGCCAAACACCAGCACACTTATTCAGTATCAATAGCTATCTATACTTTCTTAGCTAGATAATATACACATCCACACTTCTTCATTGAGTCAATATTTACCCACATTTTCTCTCGTTGGATTTTTTGCCAGCTAAGTAATCCACAAGTACACACATACACAAACCTATATAAATATTTATAGTGATATATATATAAAAGCGAATTTCATGAGACAGCCATCAGCAGACATACATTAAAGGTTAGATACTTCAAGGCAACTACTCAAATCCACCTGGATGGTGAAACACAAGCTTTCGTAACATTTCCTTCTTAGGTTCCAACTAACTTTCATATTTTAATAAGTCGCTTAAATTGACTAAGATTTTACACCTGTATACAGTACCTAAATTGTAGACCATGCCAGTCTGAAAGCATTACATTGTCATCAAAAGCCTAGGTCATAAGTTTGATGAGTCTTTGTCATTTCTTTCTCTGAGTGGTATCTCATGTATCATAATCATACCATACTTTTGTCCTGGCCTGTCAACCTCTATCTCTTTCTTAACATCCTTCTCAGACCCCCAACACAACTGTCAGGAAACTCAGCAGGGAAGGCATTAGCATTAAGTAAAGCAGTACATGCAGGGCCATTCATCTGAGGCATAGGTTATAGGTTATGTACCTGTATAGGTTATATGCACCTTCTACTGGTGACAAAATGCTAGTGAATGGGTCGAGAAGAGGAGGAGGAGGGGAGCCTAAAGTCATCTAATAATGAAGGCTAATGAATGACAGAGCCATTTGTTTAACAGGTAGGTGCATACTGATTAATGGGTAACATGGTAGCTGTTTAATGGGTACATACTACTGGTGACTAGTTACGAAGAAGTGTTGTGATTATTTAAAAGGAAGGTATTCACATAAATATAGCTAAAGAAGGGTGATAGTCACTTGAGGTGGTGAACAGGGATGGGGAAAATGTGCCATTGAAAGGGGGGATTCTTTATAGATGGTTAGATTAGAACTCAAATGTGAAAATGGTTTGTAGGAAGACTGGAGTTGTTGGATATGTGAGAACACATATTGTAATGCCAGTTAATCGAAGGGAAAGGGATAAGTTAAAATGTCAGCTGGGTAATGGGAAGGAACACTTTATAATGCTGACTAATGAGAGGGAGGAAGAAGTTTCAAGATAAGCTGAGTAATGAGAACGCACACATTATTATGCTGGTTAATAGAAGAGGGATCAATTTAAAATTAGTTGGGTAATTAAAGAAGAGACATTACAATCAGCTGGATAATGGAGAAGGGAGAGAGCCTTAAGATCAGCCCAGTAATGGGAGAAGGGGAACCAACTAGGTAACACTGAAGGGAGGGGACCTATGGGAATATGGAGGCAAACATGAAAGCTGCTAGGAGGGGTTCTCTGGTTAGTGTAGAACTGTAGACACTGTTTTGGTTATCAGATAAGGAACGAAGGGGAAGAGGCAAGATGGGTGAAAACAACAGAGCCTGGGGAGGAAGGCTGCCTGTAGGAGAAGAGGTTACCTGGAAAAGAAGAGAGCAATCTAGGGGAAAAATATTGTAAGAGAACAGTAAAGCATTCTAAGGAAGGACAGAAAAGGGAGGTTAGTCAAAGAAAGGAGGACAATTTGGAGGAGAGAACAGTGACTTAGAAAAGGCAAATTGGGGTGAAAAGGATGACCTGGAGAAGAAAAGGATAATCTGGGGATGAGGGAGGGTAAGCTAAAGAGAGAATTGTGACTTGAGGAGGAGGGTGGCTTCCTGGATAGTAATCAAGAGAGGAGAATAGTCTGAGGTAGAAAAATTCAGAGAAGATGGATGCCTGGGAGAGAAGAGCAACTAAGGGTGAAGAATGGCCTAGGAGACAGAAGGAAGACCTGGTAGAGATAAGGGTGACCTGGGGAAAGAACAGTGACGTGGGGAGAGGATAATGACCTATAGGAAAGGGGAGTAACCCATGAAGAGACTGGTGACCTGGAGGATTCTTGATAGGAGGAGGGCATAGAGAGAAGTGTGACCCAGGGAATTCCTGCAGAGAAAAAGTGACATGTTGGAAAATTTCGAAGGCAGAAGATAATAACTTAAAGGAAGGCTATCAGAGAGAGAGAGAGAGATAGGGGGGAAAGGAATTAATAAGGGGGAAAGCACCAAGCCATTATGACTATATAGCACTTGGAAGGGATCAGGATAAGTATTTGGGATGGGACGGGGGAAAGGAATTGTGCCCAACCACGTGGACGGGAGGGAGGGGGAGAGAGGGAGAGAGGGAGAGAGGGAGGGAGGGAGGGAGGGAGGGAGGGAGGGAGGGAGGGAGGGAGGGAGGGAGGGAGGGAGGGAGGGAGGGAGGGAGGGAGGGAGGGAGGGGAGGGAGAGAGAGAGGGAGGGAGGGAGGGAGGGAGGGAGGGAGGGAGGGAGGGAGGGAGGGAGGGAGGGAGGGAGGGAGGGAGAGAGGGAGAGAGGGAGAGAGGGAGAGAGGAGAGAGAGGAGGGAGGGAGGGAGGGAGGGAGGGAGGGAGGGAGGGAGGGAGGGAGGGAGGGAGGGAGGGAGGGAGGGAGAGGGAGGGAGGGAGAGGGAGGGAGGAGAGGGAGAGAGGGAGGGAGGAGAGGGAGAGAGAGAGAGGGAGAGAGAGGGAGGGAGAGAGACGGAGGGAGAGAGAGGAGGGGAGAGAGAGAGAGAGGGAGAGAGAGAGAGAGAGAGAGAGAGAGAGAGAGAGGAGAGAGAGAGGGAGAGAGAGAGGGGGGAGGAGAGAGGGGGAGAGAGAGAGAGGGGGGAGAGAGAGGGGGGAGAGAGAGAGGGGGGGAGAGAGAGAGGGGAGAGAGAGAGAGAGAGAGGGAGAGAGAGAGAGAGAGGGAGAGAGAGAGAGAGAGAGGGGGAGAGAGAGAGAGAGGGAGAGGGGGAGAGAGAGGGAGAGGAGGAGGAGAGGGAGAGGGAGGAGAGAGAGAGAGAGAGAGAGAGAGAGAGAGAGAGAGAGAGAGAGAGAGAGAGAGAGAGAGAGAGAGAGAGAGAGAGAGAGAGAGAGAGAGAGAGGGAGAGAGAGAGAGAGACTGACTAAAAAGGGTGCTAAGTCTAAGAGGAAGATGGGGCTGTGTGTCTAAGAGGAAGATAGGTATTAGCTTGAAGGTAACTAGGTAAGTATGGGTTAAGGGAGAGACTGAGAGGATTGGTGGGGAACCTAAGAGGTTAAGGGGTAACTATGGGGAGAGGTGGTTATGAGGAGGCATCATTACCTGTAGTCCCACCTCGGTCTCGGCTAGATCTTCTGTCTGAGGGTTGGTGGAGGCCGTGTCATGGTCCCCCTCAATGGACAGGTCTAGAAGCCCCGGGTCCTCGTGACCAGACAGGTCATCAGTACAGGACCCGGGACCAGGGTTGTCGTTGCCAGACCTGTCGTCGAGGTCACACTCGCGCCCTAACGCAGCGACCACTACCTCATTCAGCCTGTCATAAAGTGTACTGCTTTCGGGGAAGGGGTCCTGAGGAGGCTCCGAGAGGCAATCTCCAAGATCCTCCTGGCAACCTGTCTCACTGTGTATGCTGTTACTGCTGTGAGTGCTGCAGTTACTGCTGTTACTGATGCTATCTGGTGCCTGGTGCTGCTCTTGTGCTGTGTCCTGTTGTGCTTCATAAGACAGGTCGAGGTGGTTGAGTAGATCAGGAGATGCTGAGCTTACCTCATTTGTGGGAGAGCCGAGTTCCTGGACATGTTCGATGTTCAAGTCTGCCGAAGGACTTGTGTGCTGGTCTGCTGGTCTCGTCTGCTGGTCTGCTGGTCTCGTCTGCTGGTCTGGACCATTGTTCTGCTGTTCGGTGTCCCTACTATGAAGTTCTACACCGCTGGTGTGATGTTCGGTGTCGTTTCCGTGCTGCTCTCCGGGATTGTTTTGGACTTCAGTCGAATTGCTGAGATGTTCTGACCCAGTGCTGTGATGCTCCAAGCTATTGTTAATGAGCTCTGAAATGGTATTATCGAGTTCTGAGCTGGTCTGCTGCTGCTGGTGCAGCTGCGGTGGTTGCTGCTCACCACCCTCAGCCAGTGACTGATCTTCACTATACTCGGCAGCCAGACGCAAGCCCACATAGCTGTTACCTTGCTGTCGTTTTAGATGATATTCCAGGTCGAGAAACTCATCCCTACGTCCACCTTGTTCCTTAAAGAACTCCTCTAAAACTTTTCTAGTCTCGGACATCTCATAAGAGTAATCATACATGTCAGTGTCTAAAGTGTCGGGATTGGGCTGTGTGGTGAGGCTTCCTGAGTACGATGATGTGAGGGTGGAGATGGCTATGACTGGCGGCGCAGGTGAATCACTCTCCGCCTCGGAGCAGGAGTCAGGCCCTGGAAGGTCACTGCTGGGGTCTTCCTGGGGTGTCATTTCTCTATCGTCACCCTGGGGCACACTGGCCTCGCTGGAGGTTGCCGCTGGGGGCTCGGATGAGGATTCCCGGGCAGCTTCTTCTTCTGCCAGGACCCGACGAGGGAAACCAGGTCGTGGAGGTCGTGGTGGCGGCGCATTGTGACCTGCCCGAGGGCTGTGTGACCTGGGTGAGGGCCGGGGGCCATAACGCCGGGGTGACCCCTCATACTCGGCGATGGGTACATTACCAATCTTGGTGACCTTGTGCGTTGTGGATTCTTGAGTGGAGTCCGAGTCCGAGGGTGAGGTGGATCGCTCGTAGGCAGCGAGGTAGCCATGATCGCCGAGCTCGGCAGACTCTCCTGGGAGTTGTGCCGTGGGGGAGGTGGGAGTGCCTGGCCGGTCGTCCAGCGCCCGCACGGTCAGGCCCCGGGCCACCCACTCCCCAATGTCATCAAACACGACCTCTGACGACCCTGTCAGTCGTGTCTCGTACACCAGGGGTGACTCCCGCACTGAACAGCCATGACTGTGTTCCTCGCTGTTTCCGGGAGACTCTGGCCAATGTTGCTCCTGCTGTTGCCGCTCTTGCTGGTACTGCTGCTGCTGCTGCTGCCCTCTCCGCCGCTGTGACTCGTCGTGTCTGCGGCGAGCGGGCCGCGACCGGCTGTGACTGAACACTTCCCGCCCTCCTGCTATCTCAATACGAGAGTCTCTGAGGCGGAAGTGTTCCCGCCGCTGCGGCTGGTGGCGGGAGGCGAGAGGCAGCTGCGGCGGCGCCTCTTCGTACGAGGAATCTAACACTGACGACCTCATGTACCTGTCCTCATAGTCGTCATAAGCACTCACCACCGACACATCCATGTCCATATCGACGTCCTCGGCACTGCGCTCCATCTTGGCGGACTCTGAGTGCGAGCCCGAGTGAGAGTCTGACCTAGAGCCCGGTGTAGAGCCCGAACGGGAGCCTGATCCGCTATCAACGGACATGCGGCCGCTACTGCCGCTATCACGACTCAACTTGGAGTTATCGTAGAGTCTGGGGAGGTCACTGGCGGAGGTGTGCTGGGGTTCGTAGTTGTCGTTGTCGTCAGAGTCGAGGACACAGTTGAGGTTGAGGTCGGAACGGCGGGCGTCAGTGGGCGTGGTGGTGGTGGGCGTGTTGGTGGCAGAGCGAGGCCGGCACTTGGGGAACAGACGGCTGATCTCCGAGTCCGACCCCTCCACGGCCTCCAGCGGCTCCCCCATGACGCACCTCCTCACCAACCTGCGGGACCAGACCCCGTTAGTCCACCAGCCTCTAGACTTACTCTATATGTGCTCTACTCTCTTGCCGTCTTCACTCTCTTGCACTGCACTCTGGCTCTCACCACCCTCTACTCTTTCTCTCACAATGCTCTATTCTGTCTCTCACCACCCTCTACTCTTTCTCTCACAATGCTCTACTCTGTCTCTCACCACCCTCTACTCTTTCTCTCACCACTCTCTACTCTTTCTCTCACCACTCTCTACTCTTTCTCTCACCACCCTCTACTCTTTCTCTCATCACCCTATACTCTTTCTCTCACCACCCTGCTCTCTCTCAATCCTTTATTCTCTCTCTGTCATCATCTTTTTTTCCTCAACATCCTCTGCTTTCTCTCCGTTCTCTACCAACCACTCTCTCACTATGCTTTCTCGCACCACTCTCACCTTCTGCTCTCTTTCTCTCTCTCTCTCTCTCTCTCTCTCTCTCTCTCTCTCTCTCTCTCTCTCTCTCTCTCTCTCTCTCTCTCTCTCTCTCTCTCTCTCTCTCTCTCACCACTGTTCTATCATATACTCTCTCTGTCTTACTATCCTCTGCTCCCTCACCATACCTTACCTCTTACTATTACTACTACTACCACTACTAAAGTACTACTCAACTGATCTACATTAATCATCAAACCACAACCTGCACAAGGCAAGGTACACGCCATATCACTATTATATTAGTAGTGATTCCACAATACCATAGTATACCACACTTTAAACTACCTCACAAACTAATTTCTACATTACAACATTTGCCTACCAAGCTATAAAGATAACATGAAAAGTACAGGTCTTAACCTATAGCGGAACATGACGACAATATTCATTCCTCCATGAACATGTCATTCCTCCAACAGTCACACACAGGCCTCTGCAGTCTACAGCAGGCGAGAGTGACAGAACCTTTCACCCTTAGACTTATAAACCCGTGGAACCGCCTACCCGCAGAAGCCGTAAATGTCAAAACACGGCTGCAATTTTAGATCCAAATACATAAAATCATCAGAACAAATTGGGAGACCTTTGACAAGTCCGTTGGTAACACACTCGTCCCAGGCTTCGCGAGCAATTTGACCCTAGGTTCGTATCCTGGCCGGGGAAGATTGACTAGGCGCCAGTCCTTAATTGTACCCCACCTCTGTTCACCCAGCAGTGATTGGGTACCTGGTTGTTAAACGATTTGGGAGGTCGTATTAAAGGGAAACAAGAAGGCCTAGTTTACCATGAACTATGGGAGAGGAAAGTTCTCAGCCTGCTAACAGGAGTCTGCTGTCGTCTGCTCCTGTATCCACCTGCATAAAAAAACAGAGACCTGTCCTTGCCCACGCCATTAGAGAGACTAGACTATCAAGTAGATCCAGGTAAATACAATAATGTAAGGAGAGGGAGTCAAGTTTACTATATTTTACAGTATACAAAAATAATAATAAATTCCCCCCTTCCTTACTCACCGTATATGTACGTTAATTAAAATGATAACATCGCCAAGACCAAGTGACCGGCACAGATACTTGGAATTCGCGGAACTTACACAAACGAAGGTGTGCGCATTACACTTACTAAAAACCAAAGATAATGGGACATAATACAACAGGGAATGGGTGCTATCACTCACACACATCCTGGGAATGTGTGTGTGTGTGTGTTAGAAAGAAATATATGTAGTAGATATAATAGGGGAAAATAGATTGGTTAGAAAGGCGGGGTCCAAGAGCTCATAGCTCGATTCTACAGACACAAATAGTAAATCCATCGTCAGTTGGGTCAGCCCGGGTCCCATCTGGTGGCCGGCGGCGACGCCATGCTCACCAAAACACGCGGGAAATCTACTTTACACACAAAACATTCTCTCGTAACAATTAAACATATTTGCAAATAAAACATAAAAATTAATATACCAAAAATAAAGCAAACTCACATTTCAATTAACAAAACATTTAGATAATACAAAATAAATGCTAGGCTTTACAACCGTAATTACAATTACAGCAACAACAACATTGGAGGAACACCTTAGTGCGCAGTAGACAGAACAAAAACAACATGAAAACAACAAAATAAAGAGCAAACAGCAGAAGCAACAAAACAAAAAGTAAAAACAAGAAAGTCAACAACAGTAATTACAAAAAAAATCAATAATACAAAACAGTCAACAGCAAAAACAACAAAACCATATATATATATACATTCGCAATTTAACACTAGCGATGACGTCCCTCACAGAGATCTTCTATCAGCTGAAATAGATAGATAGACATGTGGACTGTGACGTCATTGGGTCAGTTGCGTCAATATTGATTGATTGATAAAGATTAAGCCACCCAAGAGGTGGCACGTCGGGCATGAATAGCCCGTAATGCGTCAATACCGTTGACGCAATACACACACACACACACACACACACACACACACACACACACACACACACACACACACACACACACACACACACACACACACACACACACACACACTCCCTCGCCACCTGCTGTTTCAACACACACTAAACACAAATTCCTCAAACTTTGATACTAAACAAGTGAACTACCTAATTACCTGTTGTTAACAAAAGCGACTAAGGACACAACTTGGCCCCGTAAACTCCCCCTTCCACGGGCTCACTATAGCCCGTGCTGCTTGCCCCGCTCCTGTGCCAGGTAAGTTACGGGCTCACCATAGCCCGTGCTACTTGCCCCGCTCCTGTGCCAGGTAAGTTACGGGCTCACCATAGCCCGTGCTTCTTGCACCGCTCCTGTGCCAGGTAAGTTACGGGCTCACCATAGCCCGTGCTGCTTGCCCCGCTCCTGTGCCAGGTAAGTTACGGGCTCACCATAGCCCGTGCTGCTTGCCCCGCTCCTGTGCCAGGTAAGTTACGGGCTCACCATAGCCCGTGCTACTTGCCCCGCTCCTGTGCCAGGTAAGTTACGGGCTCACCATAGCCCGTGCTACTTGCCCCGCTCCTGTGCCAGGTAAGTTACGGGCTCACCATAGCCCGTGCTACTTGCCCCGCTCCTGTGCCAGGTAAGTTACGGGCTCACCATAGCCCGTGCTACTTGCCCCGCTCCTGTGCCAGGTAAGTTACGGGCTCACCATGGCCCGTGCTACTTGCCCCGCTCCTGTGCCAGGTAAGTTACGGGCTCACCATAGCCCGTGCTACTTGCCCCGCTCCTGTGCCAGGTAAGTTACGGGCTCACCATAGCCCGTGCTACTTGCCCCGCTCCTGTGCCAGGTAAGTTACGGGCTCACCATAGCCCGTGCTACTTGGAACTTGTTCCGAGTAGCTGAATCTATAACAACAAGAACCGTAAACTCCTTCCACTGTACAGCCAAACAAAAGACCATTAAATACCAGTAACAACCCTACATAAACTCCTCTCCATATCCGCGTTATGTTATACTAAGAAAATATACGATACACAACAGAAGCCAAAACTATAAAATAGATAAATAGGCAAATGTATATAATAGAAACGGTGTCAAATCTCAGAGAGGTAGGAGGACAAACGCTTATGGCTAGTTTAATAAAAAAAAACATTAATGTTATGGAATGTGTGTGTTGAACCAACTATGTGTGAAGTGTTCTTATGGTGTTATGTTATCCAATGAACCAATCCACGGGAGCCTTGTCGTGGCGCAGATGACTAGAGCGCGTCTGGGAAAACTCGGCACCTAGGTTCGAACCCTCATCAGGGCTCCAGTGGATTTGTTCAATGATATTATTAATATTATTGCAAATATGTATATTATCTGGAAATGATATGGGGTGTAGGGACGCCATGGCAGCAACCCCACACCGCGGGTTCAAGATGCTCTCAACTCCACAACTTCTAGATGTGTCATTATTCTATTTTGAGAACTGCGGTAAATAGAGACACACACACACACTTCCTGCCATCCAACTTCCTTAGATATACGAGACACGCAACTAATGAAAATTAATTTGAATTCCTACATAATTAATACCGCGATAACTCGCGCACCCACACACACGCACCCACACGCACGCACCCACACACACGCACCCACACACACGCACCCACACACACGCACCCACACACACGCACCCACACACACGCACCCACACACACGCACCCACACACACGCACCCACACACACGCACCCACACACACGCACCCACACACACGCACCCACACACACGCACCCACACACACGCACCCACACACACGCACCCACACACACGCACCCACACACACGCACCCACTCACACGCACCCACGCACGCACCCACACACACGCACCCACACGCTCGCACCCACACACACGCACCCACACACACGCACCCACACACACGCACCCACACGCACGCACCCACACACACGCACCCACACACACGCACCCACACACACGCACCCACACACACGCACCCACACACACGCACCCACACACGCACCCACACACACGCACCCCACACACACGCACCCACACACACGCACCCACACACACGCACCCACACACACGCACCCACACACACGCACCCACACACACGCACCCACACACACGCACCCACACACACGCACCCACACACACGCACCCACACACACGCACCCACACACACGCACCCACACACACGCACCCACACATATATAGATAGATTGGAAGAACAGAGACCCGCATGGAGGACCAGAAACATGGAGAGCTAAGCTGCTGGACGTGGCAACAAGAAACTTTCTAAGCCAGCATACCAAAGAGCCAACAAGAATGAGAGGAGAAGATGAACCAGCAATGCTTGATTTGATATTTACCCTAAATGAATGGGATATAAGGGAAGTTAAGATGGAAGCGCCCTTGGGAATGAGTGACCACAGTGTATTGAACTTTGAGTACCTGGTAGAGCTAGGACTTATCTCCCCCAAAAAGAACTAGGAATCAAAAGGCTGGCATACCGAAAGGGGAATTATGAACAGATGAGAAGTTTCCTAAGTGAAATACCTTGGGACACAGACCTCAGAGACAA